TGGGAACTGAACTGGAAAGAATAGTGTGTTATCTTGTGTTTGAAGGCTGCTCCATACAGCAAGTAGAGATTCAGTTAAGGTTGTGCAGACAAGGAAATCTTGTAGAAGTGGAAATCTTAGCAGTGAAATCTCCAGATCAGCCAGTGTTTGAATGCAAAACAAATTACAGGTGCAACAAACTGCCACATTTTCAAGCATCCAGAATGTTTAAAAAATAACCAGTATCATCCAATCATTCAAACAATGCCTAACATCCAGTGAGTAAATAGTGAGTTCTGTGAAGTTACCTAGATATATCTAGTGTCTTGCAAAGGATTAATAAACCTTTTCTCTAGAACAGGGAAACAGTATAAGGAAAAGTTCCTAAATATTGTCACCTAAGTGCCCTGAAATATTTATTTGGTCAGCATGCATTTCAGGCGTGGTTTCATTTTTCCTTTTCTTCTCTCCAGTACTTAAAGGCAAGGTAAACCTGTCTTTTTCTTCTGAGCATTTTTCCTTCAAAAACCCCGTAGCAGCATTGGGATGTGCTTTTGCCAAGACATCCCTTCCTCGTTTCATAACCTGTTTAAAAAGCTATAAAATGAGATGGTATGGGTATTATTTTAGTTAATAAGACTGTTGAAAGCAACTCTGTAGTTGTTGACATAACCTTAACAAACTAGGTAACCTGTTCCAGATCTCTGTGTGGTTGTTCTTTAAGAAAATGAACACTTAAGCTTTACTGATTCATTGCACAGTTTTATAGTTATTAATGAATTGGGATTTTGGCTTTAAGATAACTCTGTTTTGAATAGATGTAAGCAGTAAATGCTAACTAAGTCAAAAGAAGCAAATTTGTGTGTTACTGCTCGATAGTTTCGTATGTTTCAAGAAGAGAGCAACTTCAACTATTTATAAACTGTAATTAAGTTTCTTTATAACATGACTCATGCTTAACAAGCAAGGCCTTTTTCTTTTGCTTTCTTATGAACTGTGTGGGAAAATTAGGGTTTGATCACCAAAGAATTTACTCAATGCTTAATTACCCAAAACAGCCCTCTGAGTTCTGCTCATGTAGAGCTTTAATAAAGACATGATTTTTCCTGAATTATGGCTTTCTAAAACTTGACTTTTAAAAAGTGATGTGTAAATTGTAACATAGAAGTAAGCAGTGTTTTACTATGGAATTGGCTGCTTTCTCCAGTCTGCTGCTTTGAGCTCTGCATGTATTTGGAGTGTGATGCTTAGGAAAGCCAAAGTAAGAAATCATCAGGATTAAATTACTTTGAGTATGGAACTGAATTAGAAAACTTTACTTTCCTGAATGAGCTAATTGTTTAAATTTTCCAAAGGAAATGTTTCTATTTCTGTTAGAGAAGGGATAAATGGGACTTCCTCTGACATAATTTTAATTTTAAATCTGGGTTTGACAGCAAGATTTTTACCTTTATAACCAAATATTACCGCTGAACTGCATGACTTGTAGAAGCTTGCTAGTTGAAGTGACTCACTTACGTAGATTAAAGTTATTTTTAGGGAGTAATTTGCACTGTTTAGAGGAGAAGAAAAAAAGGGAGAGAGAGCTCTTCTAAGAGCTATATCCCTCATTATAGTTTACAGAGCTCGTGAACCCAGCATCCAAGCAAAGGATGACTAAGCAAGGGGTCTATTGGTACTTTCAGGAATTTACAGACATGAGTCATCTGCTTATTTTCTGCAGACATATCACCAGGGTACTGTGTGAGTCAGCTGTTATTTGGAAATAGTACTTGTGTTCAGCATGAATATGTTTTTTGTAGTTCTTAGGTAACTAGCATGCCAAACCAAAGTGTGCTTTTGTAGTTTGCCTAGTTCAGGTGTTGTTTTACAAAGCGGCACACTGGTTTTTACCATGGTGCTTTTTTCATAATAAAGTGTAAATGTTTTCTGGGATGTAATTATGATAACACTTAACTTTGTCACCTTACATATTGCATGAAGACAGGTCTCATTTTGTATTGATGCACAGATTGAGAGTCAGGTTCCCTCTACAACCATGTAAAAAGAAAAGGTTTCTGTATCAACCTGCGCAACTATGAGCAGGATTTGACCTTTTATCTTTAAAACACCTTGCTAGCATTGATTACCAATGGTATTTGCTTATTTTTTACATGCAATAAAACTCTTCACCCCAAATACAAGTATTCTGTGTGCTCACAGTTGTCAGTGGATGGGCATCCACTGTGATGCAGGTGATTTCTTGCTTCCCTTTCTACTGCTGAAATAATAGCTGGCTACCTTGAGATACGTATAGCACTTCACAAGTCAAGCCTATTTCCTGTTTACTGGTCTTTTAGGTGTGGTTGTGTTCCAGAATTAGGGACAGGTTTTTTTACTTGGTCCATACTCATCTCACACCTTGTATTAAGGAAACACTTAGGTTAGAAAAAAGGGAGTTTGACCATTGTAGGTGAAGGGTAGCGTTAGAAATCAAAGGCAGGTCAAATTTTTCACTACCACTTGCAGTATAATGTAAGTAATTCTTGAAAATTCCTGTACAGGTTTTGGTTAATAAAAGAAGATGTTTTCTGTTATATTTTGGTGCTTACCAGTGTTGGAAAAAAAAATTATAAAATAAAGGTTTTTTGTGGTGAATGGAAGCATCTCTGTAGTGATAGCAATGTCTTGATTATCCACTTAAACAGCATTTCTAGTACTAGGTATTTTCTCTTAAGTGCAAACCTTTAGTTTTAGGTAACAGGAAGAAAACTGTTGCTGCTTGCCCCTGGTATGTACACAAAGGATTTCAAAGAAAAGTTAATGAAAGTCAGAAATTCTCAAGTAAACAGTTAGATACAAGGATCGAACTATTACTTGAGTATTTTGGTACAGTTTGCTATTCCTTTCACACAGTGATAAAATACACAAAGGCACAGAGTGCCTTTCCTTTAACGGGTTAGTACTTAACAAGGAAATATATGTACTAGAGGAACAGAGTTTAAGCACTCAGAGCTGCAGTAGTATATTATAACAACAAAATGGGGAGCCTGTCCCCTTGCTTCATAGTCTTTTCCATGGTGAAGCCCTTGAGAGGCTGCAGCACACACATACCATCTGCAAGGGGAGGAGACAGCTTGCTTGCTGATAAATGGCCTCGATACACCATTGTTTATCAGGGTTGTTATTTAATAATCATGTTATAAAGAGGAATTTGACAGAGCAATCTTTGAGTCTAACCCGTGTTATAGCAGAGATCTGCCCTCAAATTAGCAGTACTCTGCCCATGTCATTACTCCTTAAATATCTGCTGGAAGCTGCTGTGTGAGCTGAGTCACCAGGACTCTGGGAGTTATCACGTGTAGCTCAGACACTACATTTGCTCATGAACTGAGCAAACACTGTCATCCATGGAGGTTTGTTGTATTTTGTTGTATTCCAGATGGAATATCACACTCAGTTTTGTATACTTCATGGCTACAAACAATTTTACTTCTGGAGCTTGGAGGGTAATTTAGGGGGAAAGGAGCTACGGTTTGGCTGGTGCTCAAGTCTTCAGACATGATAGCGAAAACTGCAAAGTGAAGGGACTAGAAGGATGATAGCATGGGATTTAGAAAAATAAAACCTATCTATCTTACAGTGATAGTTCAGTCTGTGAGCAGATATTTCAAAGGAGGTGCTGGAATCACTGTTCCACGAAGCATTTAAAAGTAGAAAACAATGCATAACCAAGTGTACTGGAGGGGAGATCCAGTTCCACCTAAGAATGGGTGGAGTCCTATAATGTGCCTTCTTTCTTCAAATTCTGCTTATACTGATTTTGCTACCTGCTTTGATTCCTGCTTCAGCTATGACAACCTGTTAACTGAGGAGTCTTCCCTTCTCCTTAAAAAGGATTATGAAATGTCAGAGAGTAGTAAGAATCCAGGGTTATATGAATGATTTATAACCTTACTAATTTACTTCACTCGTTTCTACAGCCGTAGGAAAAATTCTTAAAGATTTACAGGGAGTTACTGTTCCATTGCCATGTTCTTTCCTTGTGCAGAATTAAAGAACTGTGATTTGGAGGATAACAAAAAATATGGTGCAAATGCGTTATAAAAGGAGTGTTGCACCTTTAAAAGAAATGCACATTCTTCTGATCATTTTGGTATTAGACATTTGATGTAAATAACTCAAGTCTGTTGTCATAAGTCAATTTAACTACAGATTTAAGTCTTCTGAAATTAAAAGTAGAACAAGAAAATCTAAACTACAAATCTAGCAATCAAGAAGTTAAGTTAAAAAAACCTTTTCTGACCATATTATTAACTGTTGTAGACTATTTTATTGGTCTGTCAGACTGATCATGAGACAGTGATAAGCAGAGGGAACTAAGAGGTTCTGATTTTTATTTTTAGCAAGATATTTTGTATATTAATGACTTCGCAGTGTGTTTTTGGTTTTGTGGGTGTTTTTTGTCTGACAGATGACAGCAAGTTGAGATCTTTTCCAACTCATGTGACTGAATCTTTCTACATCCTTTATCAAATAATTTAACTACTGTAGGTCTCAGACAGCTGTAAAATGAGGATGATAGTGCTTCTGGTGTCCATGGAAGCACTAAAATGAATTGACTAAAGCAGATAGAGAAATATGGTTTTTGAATGGAAACCATAAGCAGAATGTATTTTGTGAATTTTGGAAAGGGAAAAATTTACTATAAAGGAAAATAGCTCTATTATTTTTTCTATAATAAAACAGTCATGATGTAAATATTGTGATAAACATGGAAATGCACTAGCTAACCAGTTTTAGAATTATGTGCTTTGCAAAAACGGTATGATAAAAACCCATAGTGTCTCATACAGCAGTATGTTGGAATCATTACTTATAAGAAATAGAGAAGTATATTTTAGAAGTAATTGACAATTTCTCCTTTTCTGTCACCTTTAAATCATTAGAACAGAACCATATGTTTCCAGTAAAAGAGGGAAAAAATGCCACGATGTATTTTCTTACTCTTTTTTTTTTTTTTTTTTCTTTTTAATTCTCAGTTGACTTACCCCTCTATTTTCCTCGAGACCAACCAACCCTGACATTTCAGTCTGTCTACCACTTCACTAACAGTGGCCAGCTGTACTCCCAGGCCCAGAAGAATTACCCTTACAGCCCCCGCTGGGATGGCAACGAAATGGCCAAGAGAGCAAAGTAAGTCATACTGCTATTTCCTACTAAGTATTCCAGCTGTTACATGGTCATCTGCTGGTAGAAGTGTCATGGATTTAACTGTACGTTTTCAGCGTTGTAAGAGCTGAACCTGTTTTTGTTCTCATACAGCCTTCCTGTGTGTGAGTGTAGACAGATACTTTATTAACCATGCTTATCATGTTACTGCCAGAGGACTGATCAAAAGAAGACTCTCTGCTAGAAGTTGTACAGGCACAGACTGGTGACAGTCTCTGCTCCAAAGAGTTTCCAGCCTTAAGTAGATGAGATAGCCCCCAGCATGGTAACAGTCAGGCAAGGTAACTCCATGGTTTTATGTGGGTGTTGAGGGGACCCTGAAGGGAAGCATGTGAGATGGAGAGAAGGGAGAAAAACCTGAAAGATACGGAGGAAGGCTGTAATAAAAAAAACATGTAAGAATGGGAGGAGGTTGAGCAAACCACCTATGCAGCGTAGGAGGCAGTCCTGCCAGAACTTGAGAAAGTTCTTAGGTGAACTTAGGTGAAAGTCTGAATTTCCTTTTCTTTTTCATTATTATTTTTTTTTCCCATTTTTTTTCTGTTGGCTAGAAACAGAGAAATCTCAGACTGTTTCCTCTGCAGTTTTTTCTGCAAGTCCTTGTTTCAGGCTGGGGAGACACCACTACAGTCCAAGTATCCCCTTTACTTAAAGATGACAGGGTAGCCTCCTCAGGGTGGTTCTGTTGCAAGGGCAAGCTGCTGTGGGCAGTTATTTGTGTGCCTTTTGTATGCTGGATATTGTCCTTGTCTTCTAATGAAGCCAAACAGATTTTACTTGAATGGAGCAATATGGGCAACAGCCTTGCTGCAGTATTTCAGTTTTGCAAAGTGTAAAAATGTTAGAACAGCAAGAGATTTAAGCAGGCTGATTATCAGTTATTCAGCACGTCAAGGCATCAAACTGCATAAATAACAAGGCATATTGGGGTTGAATGACAATCAGAAGATTACATTAAATTAGCAAAGATGCATAAATAAGAGTCAAATGAAAATAGTTCAAGCTGAGTAAATGAAGTGAGTGACATGGTCATAGACTGATTGTAATTTGGAAATGATGGAAGCAAACAACAATTGACTGAAGCATTTGCAGATTTTATACTAATTTAAATTTTATGCAGAGCATCAAGTAACATTTGCCTTTGTATTTTGATGCATTGTAATATAAATTGTTTTGCTAGTATTTGGTTTTACTCCCATATTGTCTAGGAGAGCCATTTCTTGATCAAATATGCTTGGATTTTTTTGGATTTGTTTCTTTTCTCTAGCAGAATTAGGAGTATTTTGCTAAAAAAAACCAAAAAAAACCCAAAAAACAACAAAAGAAACAATAACTGGAAGCATTAGTGTGTCTTGTTTATGATTGTAGTACAAAATGCAATTCTTTTGCAGCTAGAAGCTTACAAGTACCTATCTGCTGTCTGCTAAGTGCATTCATTTATGAGTTGGTGTATACAAATGGACTTCTCTGCCCTGCACATGAAAACTACAAGTATTATAACAAGTTATTTTTAAAAGCACTAAATGTGTACCCTTGCTATCACGTGTATGTTTTGTGAGGTTATTCACTCTTATGTTTGAGCCTTTGCATTTAAGTTCCACAGTGGGTACATAATGCAAGAACGATGATGAGAAACGGGGGAAGAAGGTCTGCTGCAATGTTTGAAATAACTATCACTGAGCTGCAAAGAGACAGAGAAGCTGCTCAAGTTAGAAGTGCTTTGCTTGCAGGAATAACTAGTGTTTCTTTTAGTTGGTACCATAAATAAACCTGTATCAAGAAAAGTATGATGTTATGATACATGTTAGCATGGTTTAAGAAACATTTTTAGCACAATTGAACACCTACTGAAAATAGTCTCTAAAATATTTGCTAGAGGTTCTTAGAATAGGTTAGTGTGCTTCAACACAACCAAATAATTGTTCATTCTACTTTATGTTTACCATAGCCATATTATCATAGAATCATAGAATCTTAGGGGTTGGAAGGGACCTCGAGAGATCATCTAGTCCAACCCCCCTGCCAGAGCAGGGTCACCTAGAGTACATCACACAGGAACTCATCCAGGTGGGTTTTGAATGTCTCCAGTGAGGGAGACTCCACAACCTCCCTGGGCAGTCTGTTCCAGTGCTCTGTCACTCTTACAGTAAAAAAATTTTTTCGGATATTCACCTTGAACCTCCTATGCTCCAATTTACACCCATTACCCCTTGTCCTATCACTGGTCATCACTGAGAAAAGCCTAACTCCGTCCCCCTGACACTCACCCCTTACATATTTGTAAACATTGATGAGGTCACCCCTCAGTCTCCTTTTCTCCAAGCTAAAGAGACCCAGCTCCCTCAGCCTTTCCTCATAAGGGAGATGTTCCACTCCCCTAATCATCTTCGTAGCTCTGCGCTGGACTCTTTCGAGCAGTTCCCTGTCCTTTTTGAACTGAGGGGCCCAGAACTGGACACAATACTCCAGATGTGGCCTCACCAATGCAGAATAGAGGGGGAGGAGAACCTCTCTTGACCTACTAACCACACCCTTTCTAATGCACCCCAGGATGCCATTGGCCTTCTTGGCCACAAGGGCACATTGCTGGCTCATGGTCATCCTCCTGTCTACCAGGACCCCCAGGTCTCTTTCACCTACACTACTCTCCAGCAGTTCAGCCCCCAACCTGTACTGGGACATGGTGTTGTTCTTCCCCAAATGTAAAACTCTGCACTTCCCCTTGTTGAATTTCATCATGTTTCTCCCCGCCCAATTCTCCAACCTATCTAAGTCTCTCTGAATGGCAGCACAGCCTTCTGGTGTGTCAGCCCCTCCTCCCAGCTTAGTGTCATCAGCAAACTTGCTGAGGGTACATTCTATACCCTCATCCAGGTCGTTGATGAAGATGTTGAACAACACCGGTCCCAGTACCGACCCCTGTGGGACTCCACTAGTCACACACCTCCAACCAGATTCTGCCCCATTGACTATAACTCTCTGACTCCTTCCTTTCAACCAGTTCCTAATCCACCTCACTTCCTGATCACCAAACCCATACCTGATCAACTTTTCTACAAGGATGCTGTGGGAATTATAGGCCAAGTATATAGGAATACATGTAGATTTATAGGAAAGCATTCTAATTAATACATTCATTCAAGCACCATGTCAAAACATCCCAGATAAAATCAGAAAAGGATACATGATTTAGCCTCTAGAAGCAATGTAGCTTCTAGACGCTTCTAGAAACCTCTAGAAGCTCAACTGAATTAAATTTTACCCTGGATAAATCCAGGACAACTTGTTTGTGTTTCTAAATCCTGTCTTCTAGGTTTTGCTTATGTGTAGTCTTTTTCCCTCTAAGGCAAATGGTCTCCCAAGTGCTTGGCATTCTTTGAGAGAAAACAGCTCTGTTTATCTTTCTGGCTGTACTGTTCTAGGGGCCACGGGATCCCACTGCACGTTCTGGTATCTGACCAAATTCTGCATCCTTCTTCTCAGGCAGTTTGAGGGATCAGTTTGCACCATCTTCCTCACTTTAGCTTAAGACACCACCAAGGACAAGCTTTTGCTTGCTCTTGCACCAACTGGCTTATTCACTGTCCAGTCATGTATTGAAGCATGTGTACCACGTTGCTTTACAGGAGGTAGAAGCACCACCAAGTTTGAAGTGCCATCACTCAGAGACTTCCTCATCCTCAATTTTGGCAAGTCCTGCCTCTATTTTCAGCAACGCAACATTTTTGGCTTATTCATGGGCAGAGTTGTCATAAGTTCATGCCACAGGGACTTTGATTCTGTGCCCAGCCTTCTCCCAGGGTTGGCTTTGGGGTGCTTTTTTTTCTTCAAACAGGTGAGCCCATCCAGTGCCTTCATCTCAGGGGCTAAACTTGAAAGTCTTAATATCATTGTTTATCTTTGTGGCTCCCAGCAGAGGCAGACATCTCTTTTGAAGTTAGGACTTAACCCTTTGCTGTAGCCTTGAGACAATCAATAGTAATTACAAGTAGGAGCAAAATTGCTCCCCTAAAATACATACATATAGAAGTAGATTGTATATATTCACACTTAGGCACATATCACCAAAATCTTAAAGGCAAATTCTCTAATTGAACTCTCAGTTTAGTAGAATCTTTTTCACTCAAAGAAAAAAACTGCTTGTGTTCTTGCTAAAGGAGTTGGACCAATTTATTCCTGTCTGGTGCGAAGTCCATCAAGTCAAGTTCCTCTGTGTCGTCTTAAGCAGTTTTAAAATTACCTGGCTCCTCTGAGGGCCACTGACTTGGATTCCTCACTGAGAGATAGCATCTGGTAAGTGAAACTTGCTATTGTCTTAGCCCAGGGATTTCCCTCTGGCTTGATTTAATTCTAAGGGACAAATCAAGTCCTGATTAAATAATGTGATTCTGAATGCCTCAAGATTTCTTGTTTCTCAACTAAACACAAAATTTTAACCTCTTCCTCCAGCTAGAAACAGGGAAACAGAAAAGATTAGCATTTTCTTAAAAGCTTTCCTCTTAATTCATATCTCTGGCTTTGCCTCTCTTAGGTCATTTATTTATATGTCTGTGGCCTCCTGTGTAAGCAGCTTCTCCAAAAGGGTTTGATCCTAAAATACAATAGCAAGCCTAAGAAAATACAGTAAATTATGGAAAGTTAGCAGCCTTGTTTGTGGTGTACGTGTGAAGTAAAACATCTCTGTGTGGTTTCCATGGGAAAGCTCTATTTTTTTGCTTAAATAGGCATTCAAGTGTACATAAATGGAGTCTTTAAAGAACATGCAGACTCTAGGCTTGGGATTTTATGAAGGAATACTGTAAATAAAGCTCGTTTGTTTACACCAATTAAGTTCAGTTCTCAGATGCACTCTGGCCCAATTTCTGTCTGACCCAGTGCTGCTCAGTAGGCTTAGGTTATACTTCAGGGAGAGCAAGTCAGGACTCAGTTTATTCTTTTATCCTACATAAATCCACCTACTCATC